TACAACTCGCGTTTCTTTCGAACAAAAGTAATTTAGTAAGTAAAGTAAGATTTTTCTCTCTTTCTGCGAAGTTATTTAGAAAAATTGTTTTCTTAGCAACTTAAACGATTTTCTTGGATTTTATCGCCTTATATCCTGATTCCAAGCAAATCTTAAAATCTTTATCTCAGCGGATTTACAAAATCCAAAACTTCTGCTTTCTAAACACACAACCGTTCTCACTACTATCAGCACAACAGTTAAATAGCCTCCCTCGTAGAGAAACTCTTGCACGCTCTGCAAAAATGCTGAAATTTGGCCATGTGCGCTGCACGTGTGATGGAATGACAAAGCGAATTGCTGAAGGATGGAATCGGCGACCAAAACCTATGTCGCATGTTGATCAAAGTCCAGTCAGCGGTTTGTGATTTGTGACCAAAAAACAATTCAAAATAGAATAAATCTTACCTTCATGGCAGAATTCGGTGATCCACAAGATGTGCTCGGAGAAATGGCCGATATCTCAGGTGATTCGATTTTGTTAGTAGAAATTAATAGTGAATTTTGATTGGCAAAAGTCATATGTCGAGTTATAGCAATAGCCTCCAAAAGAACATTTGAAACAGAATCAGTTCGGTACGGTACCAGCAATGGTAATGTCGATTGTGGTACTGAGGGCGGTGGCGGCACCGCTGCCGTCGAAACAGATGAAAAGATCATCGTTTGGGGTCGAAACATCAGGAGTACACACACCGTAGAGCGAGTCAGTGTGTGTCGCGAGATGACGAAAGACACTGCAAATACAGTGATACAGCGCTGGAAATGCTGGTGACAATGTGGAGGCGAATATGCGAGAATAGGAAAGGTTTAATAGAGTCAGACATTGATATGACCTGATATGAACACGCCTCATTCTGATTTATGATATTTGACAAAATTTACGACTGAATTTGGAGTATATGAGGTGCTTTGAATGGACAAAAAAATTTTCCGGTAGGACTTCATCACTCTGATAGTCGAATAGATTTAACTTCAATTGCACAATAAGCGCTAACATCCAAAAAGATTCACTCCCATTCGCTCTATCTATTTAGGTTTTTCGTAGATCGCTCTCTTTATCACACTTTATAATTTTTTTTTACAAGAAGCTTTTAGAAACCACTTGTTTTCTGTATGTTTGGTAAGGATTTGTTAAATCGATAGTTGTAAAAAATGATTAAAACTATGCGAATTTCAAAAAAGTAGGTCTTCCAGAATATACATCATTGATCCATTTTGCAAGGAGCATTTTTATGATTTTGAGCTGAGCAAAAGCAAAAAGTTTGCAAATGCAGCAAGATAACGTAATGGTGTGTTTGATTACACTTGCACTTTGATTTTTTGGCATAAAACATGCTTGAAATTTGCAAGAAATGACACAACCAGTTGTTTGTATTGATTTCAGCTTCACAACAGTAACTGTCATCTAAAGGATTTGCAAAGATTTCAACTCGTTCAAGAATTTTAACAATTTATTAATCTTTGCCACTTATACTACCTTTGTTTATTTCTTCATTAAGAGTGACATTGTGGTGTTTCATCTCGTACAACTTGAAGAATCGAAAAAAAATTTCTAAGCACACTATACTGAACTTCTACTATCAAGTGTGGATAGGAGAAGTTCAAAAGAGAGGATGAGGTAAATTTTGAAGAAGTTAGAGTGTTTTAGAAGATCAGTCGCGTAGCTTTACTAGAAAAATCCTAAGTTTTAGCGCGTTTTGGGAAATGGGGAAGAGAATAGGGTTTGTTGGCTGAATTTAATTTTTTCATTAACAACCTTCCAAACAAAACTGTTTTACATATTACAGTATTATGAGTTGGCTTAACTTAACCACTTAAAGAATAATGCAAACTAGATTAAGATTGAAAAAGGATTGGGATTGTATATGAGAAGGAATGGGAGAGGAAGGAATGGGAAGGGGATGGTGAAGGCGTCTACTTGTGAGTTGGAAGGAAAAGACGAAAAACGTTGTAGTTTGTGGCACTTTCAATTCTTTTCCATCGTTGTTTGTATGGCCATAAGAAAAGGATCTTTTTTTAATTTTGATGATTCATTTTTTTCACTCAGTTTCTGAACAAAAAACGCCGTAAAAGGTAGAATTTATTCATAAGAGTTGTTTCTAACATTATTGACAATCACAAGTAATGATATACATCTTATGAGTTGTTGCGAAAGCGATTTGTATGTGAGAGTAAAAGTAACTCAGGAAAAGAAGGCAATGTATGAAAGTTTCTACGAGATATGTAATTTGCGCGTACCAACGTCACTTGCTTGGTCTTTTGATGTTCGCGGTCATTAAACTGT